GGTTTGTCAATACTGGGTGAGTGGGCATCAATATGGCAAATGAGGTTCAACATGGGCAAGTACAAAGTAATGCACATTGGAGCAAAAAAATCCTGACTGTAATTGATTGGGTCTGAACTGGTGGTAAATGACCAGGAGAGAGACCTTGCAATTAAAAAAAAGACAAATACTATGGTGGTGATTATTAGGAAAGGGATTGAAAACAAATAAGCCAGTATCTTAATGCCCCTGTATAATTATATGGTGCGGCCTCATTAGAAATATTGCAGGAGGCGGCCAGAATTCTTTATGCTAAATATTGGAAATCAACGGAAATACCAACAAAGCAAGAATTTATAAACAAAGTTTTGGAGGCAGTGGAATTGGATAAATTGACTTTATTGATAAAAGGTTTAACAGACTCTACATTCCAGAATACTTGGACATGGTTTTATAATTGGTATGATAACCACATGTAGGTAAGTTTATAAGGGTCAGACTATTAGTTTTATTATAAAGTATATACTCGATTGAGATAGAGTGAATGGTTACTCATCATAATATACAAGAATAAAGATTAAGGTGGATTAGACATAAGCATAATGTTGTTAAAAAGAATGATAACCCCATATATGTGTATTTATGTATGTTTTTATATATATATTGTGTTTGTGTAAAATGTGAAAAATTGCAAAATTCTGCCTTTCGGGGAAGTAAAAAAAAAAGGAATATTGCAGGAGAGAAATTGAAATGGGAATATTTGTATCAAACTAACCTTTGTGAAATTAGGTCTCATCCCTAGTCAGCTCCAAATGTGAAAGGAAAAAGCAAAGGCATGCGAGTGAAGGAGGAGGAATAAGGGAGCATGTGACTTGACAGAATGGTCCTTGTCTCCTAAGCACTCTCAGGACATAAGACAGCATTGAGTCTACTGGGTCAGTGTCTAAGCAATTCATGAAGAAACAATAAGCTAATTTTGGTTTAAAAATAAACAAGCAGGGGACCCGCAAGAACATGCAGGGGCCACAGCTCATTTTCCTCTCTCCTACTATGTCCTCTTTCCTTTTCCTGAAAGCCCTAATAATTTCTCCCATTTGCTTCCTTCTCTCCTTCCTTCCCACCACGCAAGCTATCTTTATTTGCCCTCTTTCATCTTCCTTCCCTTCCCTTGGCAGCCTCTTCCCAGAAAAAGTCTGGCTCAGTTGTGCAGTGACAGCTTGGCTGTCAGGCTGCGGAACCTGTGAGGACTTGTAGGGAGAACTGTACTTTCCCTTGTATTCCTCTTCCCATGCTGTTTTTCTTCTCCTGAACTCCCATATCATCAACTTCCTATATTTCCTTCTTTCCTTTGTACCCACTCACCAATCTACCTTTTATATTACCCCCATAGTTGGCTATGCTGATATTCATTTACTTCATTTTTATCCTTTCTCCATAATGGGGACCCAAAGCAGCTTACATCATCCTCCACTCCTCCATTTTATCCTCATAACAATTGTGTCAGATAGATTATGCTGAGAATGAGTGACTGATCCAAGGTCACCCATTGAGCTTTCATGGAGAGTGGGGATTTGAACCTGGGTCTTCCAGATTCTAGTCTGAAACCTTAACTACTACATCATATTGGCTTTTGTGAGGTGGCTGCTGTAGAACATTAGCAAACATCCGGGCTGGGTGAGTCATGAAAGTCATGTGGTAACAAGTCACCCAGTGTTTGCTGCTAGGCCTAGCCCTGAGAATAGGCTTGCCAAGTCCCCCCGGGGGGCGGGGAAACCCCCGCCCCAGAGGCCCGTTCCCCACCGGCGGCAGATCGGGCCCCAGGGGGAACCCCGCAGGCGCATCACCCAGAAGTGACGTGACCACGCCGGGCACGCTGGGGGTGGGGCCACGGTCATCCAAGGGAAAACTCTATGGTTTTCCCTCGGATGGTCGTGGCCCCGCACCCAGCATGCCCGGCGGCGTCGCGTCACTTCCGGGTGACGTGCGTGTGGCGCGAGCGCGCTTTGCGCACACACACACACTCCAGCCACGGACCAGGAGTCCCCCGGTAAGGAGATATTTCGACTTGGCAACCCTACCTGAGAAGCTCTCTCTCTCAAAATCTAAAAGGGCCCTGCCACTTCCCCCTGCCTTTTACTAACAGTGACCAAGGCTTGGAGGCTGGCAATACAGTTATGGTTGCCTTGGAACAGCCATAGAGAGCATTTATTTTTTAAAGCCACAGGCACTGCTTCTGTCATTTGTGTGTGGCGGGGGTAGTCCCATATTGTGTTCTTTTTTAATATTTCAGATTTTTCTGCAAACCTGAGGCTTTTTCAGCATTGTAAAAATGTGTTTTGTTTGTTCATGGCTCCAGTCCGTGGATTTAAGTATCCTCAGATTTCACCATATGGAGAATTAGACATATCAATGAAACTTTTGCAATCTCTCATATTTCTAAAATCCCAACTACTATTAAAATCAGAATTGACAATGTGGAAAATGAGCTGGGTTGTCAAATGTTCTCTCGAGATCCCTTTTCTTGTTTTTAGCTGTTGTACTTTGTTGGGGGGGGGACATGCTACATAGTCCTGTCTTTGGTTGGTATTTTAAAAATCTGTTGTGGTGAACATAGGTTATTTTTCAAGATCCTGGAGCATAGAGCATAAGTTGCATGTATTAAGAAGTGATTTGATATTTGGAGTATTAGAGGCCTACCTGTGATGTACAAAAGTGTATCATGTGTGTTCCTAATTTATGTGTAAATAAGAAAGCCAAGGAAATGACTGAATAACAAGTACAAAGATAAGATATTTCAACACTACTTTAATAACTACAAGGTCAGTTTTTATAAATAGAATACAAAAAGCAGAGTGGATTTTTTTTTTTAGCTCCTATCACCATTTCCTTAAATACTGTATTTTATAACCCAATTTTGCCGTTAGCAAATTACCTGGCTGTCAGTGGTGATTAAAATTTGCTGGACCTTATGTTTTATACTTATAAATAACAAAATGCCTACAGCCAAGTTCTGATTTTCCTTTCTTGCTATAAAGTCATTTTCTTTTCTATTCTAAGATTACATGGAAACAGTAACACCTATGCTAGTCTCCCTTGGAGAACAGTTTTCAATACCATTATGGCAGGGTAACACAACACGGAAATACCATGGTCTGATTTTTGTACATCCTTTCCTGGAACACAGGAGTTTATAGGGAATGGTAGGAAAAGACCATGCTGCTTATAGTGAGGTTCAAGTAGGGTTCCCAGGTCCTACCTTTCTGCTGGTGGGGGGATCGATGGGCCTTTTCTGGAGCTTCTGCTGTGCCTTGCGTGTACGACATGGTGATGTCACCTGGAAGTGATGTCATCATGCGGCCAACATTATGTAGCGATGATCTAGTTTTGGGGCAAAACTTGATGCTTTGAGCCTGATTTTACCATAGAGTTTTGCCTCCCCTCCCCAAATAGAGCATCACTGTACAACCTTGGCAGCATGATGATGTCACTTCCAGGTGATGTCATTGCACCGTCTTTCACTGGCTGGTGGTGGGGAGGAGCCCACAAAAGCAGAGGACCCCTCACCCGGACTGGGGGGCTGGCAACCCTAGGTGCAAGAGGTCACTCCAGTGAACTAAACCATTAACCCACTATAGCGACATATAACTCTGGGGGAAATGGTTCCACAGTGATCATCATAGTCTTTAATCTATTTTAGTGGGTTGTAAAAGTGGAAGTTGTTACACAAATACATTTAGTCAGTTTTTGAATATTAGTGCTTAAGCATAAAGAGTATACACAGAAGTATATATTAAAGGAATACCAGGGCTATTTTTGGGCAGGAACACACAGGAACGGAGTTCCGGCTGGCTTCAGAGTTGGCCATGCCCACTACAGCCGAAACCTCTGCGTGCATGGCTACAAAGCCTGGAGAGCAACCCCCCGGCAACTCCAAGGTGGGTGGGCCAGGGGCCCCCTGGAAGGATCGGGGAGGCATTTAAATGCCTCCCTGTGCCTTTCCCGGCCTGTCCAAGGGCCGGCTTGCCTGGACTCCCCACAGCTGCAAGGCGCCCAGGAAGCCAAGGGAAGGCATGGGGTGTAGCCTATGAGTGGTGCTGTCAGGGGGTGTGGCCTAATATGCTAATGAGTTTCTGCTGTTGGGTGTGGCCTATTATGCTAATAAATTCCTGCCGGGTGTGGCCAACTCAGGAGCCAGCCGGAACTCCGTTCCTGTGCGTTCCTGCCCAAAAATTTTGAGTAATTTACTGCATTGTTTTGCATTATACACTTGACTGGTTGTGTGTTCAGTTTCGAAGGGTTTAATCTGTGAAAGGAATTAATCCAGCATCCGCAAATAGCAAACACTGTAAAAGCAATCAGAGTGACTTTTTCTTACTGTATTTCTAGCCAGACTTGCATTTGCATGGAGCTGAGGCACAAACTATGTTTTGTTGACTTTGGCAGTGTCCCAAACCCAAAGGTTTGGAAAGACTGTGCTAAGTATCCCGAAATTAGAATGTACAATTTATATACCTGTTGGAACATGGAAAATTATCCCTCTCTCTAATAGGAAAGAGAAATCCTTTGTTATTTTGTCCCCTTTACAGTACAAGATTTTTCTTCCAATCCATATCTTGCAACCAGCAATTCAGCCCAACAAGGCTAATCTTACTTATACCAGTTTCTTATGGGAGATACTTTATTCAAATGCACCCTCACATGGTGAGAACTGGTATTTATCATGAGAGGATACTCCCAGTGTTTTTTTAGCAGTTGTAAGACATTGGATGTTTTGAGAGCATTTCAGGGCAGTTTTCAGGCAAACAAGTAAAAAGCCAAGTTACACAGATTCTCTAGATTATCAAAATTCCTGTTGTTTTTTCCCAACAGTTTTTGAAAATTAATCTCATCCCTTCTGCAGTTTGTTACATTCTCTTTCATGCTCTTGTTACTCTTATTCCTCCTTTAATACCATACTCCTCCTTCCTTCAATAGGACTATAATATCACTACCTTGCATTCCTGTTTCTCTCCTGTCCATAGTTATCTTAACGACTTGGACCGTATAGCAGATTCTGGTTATCTGCCTACCCAACAAGATGTGCTTAGAGTTCGAGTTCCAACAACAGGAATTATTGAATATCCATTTGACTTACAAAGTGTGATTTTCAGGTATAGATTCAATTACTTTTTAAATAATTGATATGTTACTTTTCAGTTCCCTTATCAGGTTTATGAAATATGTCGATTCACAGGTATATTATAGAAACTGCTAATTTTAAATTGTAAATGTTTTTTGAGAAAACAAGCCAGAACAGATAAGATATCAAAATGTTATGGAAATATTAGTAAAAACCATTGGAAATGTAAGAACAATGTTGACACGTTTATACATTTGTGGTGGAGATGTGAAAAAGTACAAAAATATTGGTGTAAAATATTTAAAATATTAAAAGAGATTACAGGGATAGAATTACCTTTCTTACCAGAAGTGGCATTATTAAATATGCTTCCAGATAGCTGTGGTAAGGAAAACAAGTATTTAATAATCTATACTTTAACTGTGGCAAGAATATTATTAGCCAAATGTTGGAAAGAAGAAAAAATTCCCTCAAAGGAGGATTTGTTAGAAAAAGTGTTGTCACTGGCAGAAATGGATAGGTTAAGTATAATCCTACAGGGAAAACATTATGATGTATTTGAAAAAAGATGGAAGCTGTATGGGTGGTTGCAAAAGACAATGTAAAAAATTGACTCGTGTATATATATGATATATATGATATGATATACTTATGTGATATGTATATAATGTTATAAATAACAAATAAACAGAAAATTAAAGAGAGAAAACAAGCCCAGAATATGATTGCTACAACTTTCACATGGGTGCAATTTCAGCCTTGTTACTGTTAACCATAAACAGAAACTTCATGAAGTGTTTGTATTTGCATTAATGTGCAAGTACAACTTTGTAAGGCATAGCATTCAGTTGCACCCAGGGGTCATTTCCTGCAGGAGCGCACAGGAGCGGAGCTCTGGCAGTAAAGAGCCCAGGGGGCGGGCACATGCAACAAGCCCCACCCCCTGCTCCCAGCAGCCCTCAGTTAGAGCAAGAAGCAGCCAGGTAAGCTTCAGAGCCCCCCCCAGCCCCCTGGCCCAAAACAGTCCAGTGGCACCTTTAAGACCAAGTTTTATTCAGGTACAAGCTCTCCCTCCTCTGCGAGGACAGATCTGCACGTTCCCCCCCCCCCAATAGCTAGCAATCCAAAACAGTCCAGTGGAGCCTGAGCGGTGGGTGTTGCCTTCTGACACACTTCCAGTGACGTCAGGGGGTGTGGCATATGTAAATGAGTTACGCTAATGAGCTCCCGCACCTCTTTTTCTACGAAATGACCCCTGGTTGCACCTAAAACTTTTCCCTGTGTTTACACATTTCTCTGTGTACACAGAATATTTCTATTTCAGGCTCTTCAGTGCCAATTTAGGATGTATATGTTGTAGACTGCATCTGCAAGTCAGTCGGTTATTGGGATTAATTATCAGTTTATTAATGTAAAGTCCTGTGTGTAATTTTTGCTCAACTTTATTATGTATTTTATTTCTTTATTAGACTGTCACTAGTAGGACATGTTTTACTATAATTCAAAATTTTGAAAGAGAGCAAGCTATAACCCAGCAGGAAACTGCGGTGTTTTGAAGTTTTTTAAATGCACTTATAATTTACCTGTAATGTTTTTATAACTTGTTTTCAAAAACTTTTTTACTTGAACTTGAAGTAGTGAACTCTTTTTCCATGATGTATGTGGCATTTAGTCTCTCAACAAAAACTAAAAATCTGAATAAATTAAGTATTCTAGGTATAATAATATCATAAAGCTGTATTCAGAGAATTTAATGGTGTGATCTCATTGCAGTTAGGTTGAAACATATATTGTTATTGGGCCTAATCTGATCCTAATTTCTGTAGGCCTCTTACAAAAAAGATAATCTTTCATTTAAATATGACAGACAACGCCAGTATATGGTTATTTGGCTCAGTTGCCATCCAAATTGATTTTAAGAATTTGCATAATACTATGTGTTTAATCATAATTTTTATGTCTTAGTTTCTTTATCTTTGTGGATTTTGCTAACATTGCAGAATGGTGGATGTGGGAGGCCAAAGATCAGAGCGAAGAAAATGGATACACTGCTTTGAAAATGTCACATCTATCATGTTTCTTGTAGCCCTTAGTGAATATGATCAAGTACTTGTGGAGTCAGACAATGAGGTAAGCAATGGTTCAAAAAATGTATTCTTCAGCATAAGGAAATAATCTGCTCCCATATAACCCTTTCTGTGTGCTGAGGTCTTCCTACAAGCATTCTGATACTGCAGTAAAAATTGCAAACAATAACTTTTCCATGATGGCACCAATGTTGTGGAATACCTTGCTCAAACAAGTTTGTCAGGATGGCTATCCAGTGATCTTTCAGGAATGTGTATGTGTGTGTATTATCTTAGAGGGATGTTGAGGGCCTTGGCTAGGTTATATGTTTTTGGTGCTTCAAATTTCTGCAGATCTCCCCTCAAGCTGCAGCTCTCCATGATCTATCCCACTCCATTTCCGAGACTCTTGACTTTCAGGGAGTCTTTTTGCAAGAAGTGGGCTGAAGGGAGACATCCATCCTATGAACATTCCGTCTGTAGAATCCATATCCCTGTTTATAAATTTTTCAAAGTATACAATGATTGTAAATCCCCAGGGTATTTCAGCTTTGCAAGATTATGAATCCCCAGATTGTGAATCCCCAGGGAACTTCAACTTTGCTATTTCCCTGAATGGAAATTAATTTCAGGTTCTGTAAAACATTAGTTACCTGTAGAGAGTACCCAAAGTGATGCTGGGATTCATGCTGGATTAAAGTTCTCTAAAAGAATTAGTACAAAAGCAAAATGAAATAAACTACTGCATGATCTCAAATTAGAGCAAATTTACACGTTTATCATACAGTATCAACCGATAACTCAAATGTATAAAACAGCTGTGATTTCTTGTCTGTATATCAATTTTTCAAGTGAAGGCTTATATTGAGAGACTACCACACATTACAGTGTTTCCTAGTCTACCTCAGGTCCCTTTAAGCCAAATGTGTGCTGTGAGGTCTTTGGAGCTTCCAGCTATTTTTGAAACTTTTCTGTTGTATGAGAAAATTGTTACCTAAATCAGTCCATGTGTCAGGCCTGTCGTGTATAGAGTGCCCTTCGCATGAAGAACTAAAAGATGAGCCCCAAGGTAAAAAGGATCTGTTGTATACATAGACCCCGGCTTGGCATAATAAATCCTTGAGGAGGAAAAGATGGAAGGGAGTTAGGTACTTAACCAGTAAGTAACTTTATTATTGTACGCAAGATACAGTGAGACTGAACTGCTCAATTGCAATAATACCATGGCAGTTTACATCTGACAGTCCAATTACTATCATTCATGTTTGCACAGTCTTAGTATGTAGTTTCATTACCTTTGGCCAAACATCCAGTTTAATTTATTGCAGATTATGTTCTGCCCACATGGCCTGTCCAGAGCAAACCAATGGGGAAGCAGTAAGTGAGGAATTACCCCAAAAGGGGCCAGAAGGTGTGGTGGGATCAATGGGGAAGGAATTTCAAATAAGAAGGAAAGAATCCCTAATGGGGTGTGTGTCCATTGGGGAAGGACCAGATGGCAATAAAGCAGGTAGGCCAGGGACAGGAGATGGAGAAACTAAGGAATGAGGAGTATATAGAAGGATAAAGTAAAGTAAAGGTTCCCTAGCTCAAAAGGCAGTTGAATCTGACTCCAGGGTTGCGGTGCTCATCTCCGTTTCAAAGCTGAAGAGCCAGCGCTGTCCGAAGACGTTTCCGTGGTCATGTGGTCGGCATGACTAAACACCAAGGAGCACGGAACGCTGTTACCTTCCCACCGAAGTGGTACCTATTTATCTACTTGCAATTTCTTGCTTTCGAACTGCTAGGTTGGCAGGAGCTGGAACTAGAGACGGGAGGATACGGAGGGTTAAATCTAGGAAGGAATCCAGGATGGGAGAGAGACAAACATGCTCTGTTTTGAAGAGGAGAGATCCAACGATTCTGTTCATGCGATTCTGGAAGAAGGTACTAGAGGGGAACCAACTACAATAATGCAGGGTTTGAGATTACTTTCTTGTGCACCTAGATTTACCAATGGAGGGGTGTCCCTGTTGTTAGCCAAATTTGGTACAGAATTAGGATCTGCGATAGCATTGGAACATATATACAGGATCTGGCTGCCCATTGGTGGAATGTGGACTGCATCTTGATTTGTTGCGAGATTTAGGATCTGGGCTGTCATAGAACAGTTCAGATATTCTGTGTTAAATTGGGATACCTGAGTATGCATCTGGGAGATGTGAAAGGAGATGGGTCTGGTTGCAGATGATTAATTTAAAATGGGTGGCAGGTGTGACTGATACCTGCTGACGATGGCCAGGAGATGGGCTAATGGGCTTTTTTCAGGTTATGATTAAATCATCCAGAACGCTGTATTGTGAGAGAAACTACAAAAACTGTGGCTATCGTCCAGAAAACTTGGTCATGCAAATGGACATCTCTGGGAGGAACTCTGGCAGGTCAAACAAAAGAGGCTTGATCAATGTTCTCCTGAAGCATTTAGGCAGTCAGGCTACTTCTTCCAAGTGCCTAGAAGTATTCTTGCCTTAATTGAGAGACCCTGCCTTAATATCAGAATGAATGGATTTCATATGCACCTGTGACATTTTATGACATCTATTTCTGTAAGTCTTCTCTATCAGTAGATTCCTGATGCAGACAGAGGGCATCTTTGATTGAATGTACTTTGTGTTGGGTCCCAAGGACAGGTCACCTAGTTTGAAGCCATGGTTAAGCTTGCTGCCTCCACCTTGCAGGGGCAATGAACCAATTCAAATGGCCCACACTCAGTGATTAATGGATCATGTTGGTTTCCAGGCAGCTCTGGGGGATTATGAAAGCCTCCCCTGGGTATCTGATAGAGGGAGTTTTGACTCTTGAAAGCTTATACCCAAAAAATCTTGGTGGTCTCTAAGGTGCTACTGGACTTGAATCTAGCTGTCCCAGGGACTGTGGAGGCCTGTATGATGGGGAGGTTGGGGCTATAAGAGAGTCAGTCCTGGGTAGGCCCCAAGCTCTGTGGTTTACCAGGGAGCTGGGGAATATGAAGGCAGTTGACTGGAATGACACTGACAGAAGACTTGGTCTGAATCAGACAGAGCATACCATTGAGCCTGTTTGCAGGCCTATGAGGTGGCAGTACTGGCGATGAAGAAGGCTTTTCCCCCTCCACCATCACTTCACCAACCGAATCTCATTCAGCTCAGCTGGTTAAAGTAGTTCCCTACGTAATGACATTTGAGTCCAAACCTGTCAGTGATATTAATTTGGTCCTTAGCTGTCATACTAAGTTTGTGAGGTTCTTTGCTGATAAAATCTCTCTTATCTATTCTGATTTGGAGGTCAGGTTGAGAGTAGATCTGGTACCTGAAGTGTCAGAAGTATTTGTTTGTTATTTTGTTATGCACAGAAACTGTTTGATCCTGTCAATGAATGCTGACAGGATTCTTGGGACTGTGATAGCTGCCACTTGCACACTTGGTCCATGTCCATCCTGACTTCTAATATAATGCCTGAAAAACCAAATGTCCTTTCTAGCATTTATGAAGGCAAAAGAGAGGGGGGCAATTATTAAAGGTAGAAGAATGACTGCTAGGCATGGCAAAAATGGCAGAAAATGTGGCCATTTTGCACAGGGCTTAGGAGTTCTCTTCCACTTTCAAAGTGATACCAAATGGCGGAGAAGACATGCCTCTCCAGTGCTACTCTGGATAGTGTGACCTGTGCGTTTGGTTTACCCAACTCCCCTCCTCAAACCTTTCTCAGACATCCCAACATGAAACTTTAACAATGAACCTATCAGGGGAAGAAGCAAAAGTTAATCTCATCTCACGGATTAAATCTGAAATGAAAAAAGAATTTAGAGTGTTATGGCATGCATCCAAGCAGCAAGGCTCTTCTGATTCTTCTCCTGAACGGGGGACATTAGCCAGGAAACATGAGGGACGCAAGAGAGTTAAAGAACTCCACAGGCCCCCCTCACCTCCAGGGGCAAAGAAGAGCAAGAGGGTTCCAAGGCATCCCCGAGAACATAGAACTGTCCTACACCCCCAAGGAAACAGAGGAAGATGATTCAGGTTTCCCGGTGAGGTCAGAAAAAACCATTCCCAAGACTGGATCTAAGTCACTGAGAGTGCCACTGCCAGCAGCTTTCTACAAGGTCATGAAAGCGGAGTGGGAACTGGCAAAACTTAAAACTAACCAACCTCTGTTTGCAAAGTTTTATTCTCTTATTCCAGAGGCCTCAAAGAAGATAAATTGCCCACAGTGGACGATCCAATCAATAGCCTGGCCTCCACTTCTATTCTACCAATGGAAGCAGATGGCTTACCTAGAGATCAGAGTGATAAACACATTGAACAGGCCCTACGTAGGGCTCCCTTTGTGCATCAGTCACAGGTTCGTTTTTTGCTAGGGCAGCCTATGCGTGGTCCTCTGAGTTAGCTAAAGCAGACAGCGATATACCCAAAGGGCTTAAAGATGAGGTGAAGAAAATAGCTCTAGCTACAGCTTTTGCTGTAGACGCTTCTTTGGATACCCTGCAACAATCTTCTACGGCAATGGCATCCAGCGTGATGGCCAGGAGGGACTGCTGGCTGCGGAACTGGGATGTATACCCTTCAGCCAGAGCTAAGGTGACAGCAGTTTCATTCACAGGAAGCAATCTCTTTGGAGAAGGTCTAGAGAGATATCTGCTGGAGAATAAAGATTAGAAAAAGGTCTTTCCTTCAAAGAAAAGGGAGGGAAAACCAAAGAAACATTTTCAGACCTTTTGTGATTCAAAAAGAGATACCAAACCACCAAGTTTCCACAAATCCTTCAAGGGAAAGTGGCAGTCTAAATTTAGGGAAAATAGGGCCATTACCTTCATTAACAAACAAGGTCAGAGCCCTAAGGGAACCAAAAAAGGCAACAGCCTATGCCAAGGCTCCCAGCATCTGCGGAGTCAGGGGTCACCTACAAAACTTTGTGATAATATGGCATCAAACAATAAATGACAGATGGGTGCTGGACATAGTTTCCCAGGGATATTCTTTGGGGTTCGAGAGGTTTCCTCCCAACCGATTCTTAGAAATGACCAAGAACGTGTCATTAGAAAAACACAGGCTTTTAAAGATGGCAATTTTTCATCTCTTAGAGATTGGAGCCATAAAGCCAGTTCCCCCAGGGGAAGTAACAGGGGGTATACTCAGTGTTTTTCATTGTCCCAAAAAAGAATGGAGATGTCAGGGCCATTCTGGACTTGAAATGGTTAAACAGACGAATAACAACAAAAAAGTTCAAGATGGAGACTGTAAAATCCATAGTGTCAGCCTTTCATCAAGGGGATTTTATGTGTTCCATAGATCTGTCAGAGGCCTATTTACACATTCCAATCAGACAGTCTCATCGCAGGTTCCTCAGGTTCACCTACAATGGACACCATTTCCAGTATTGGGCCCTTCCTTTTGGATTGAAATCCTTACCAAGAGTCTTCACGATGGTCCTGGTCACCCTAGTAGCATACCTGAGGCTCCAGGAGGTCATGTTGTTCCCATTTCTGGAGGACATCTTGATCAAAGCCCCTTCACACAGACAAGCCCTGGAGTCCTTAGACCTGACGATGAGGGTGCTCCGGGAACATGGCTTTGTCATTAACCTAGAGAAGAGCACAGTCCATATTACATCTAGGGGTGCAGATCGACACAATGCAAGACAAAAAAATTTTGTCACAGGAGAGACAAGAAAATATATTTTTACTGTTGTGTCAGGTGATGAAGAAACCTTTTGCTTTCTGATGAGACCAGGAAAACTCTGAGGCATAACTTTCTATACAAATGGATTACAATGGAATGGAGACATCTGGGGGTTCATATTCCTTTTGACCTAAACAAGCTCCTAGGGTGTAACTTTCACAGACTACACAAAGACATTCAGGGGAGAATTAGGGACTGGAACAAACTAAGGCTCTCCCTGGCAGACCGTATGCAACTTATTCAAAGTTTCATTTTCCCTTGCTTTTTGTTTCTATTTCGGGCATTGCCTATATCCACTGCAGAGGCCTACTTGAAGAAATGGCAACATACCCTCACCAACTTTTTTTGGAACTCAACTAAGTCCAGGATTGACTGCTGTCATTTGAACAGACCGGTATCTGTTGGAGGTCTTGGATTTGCTGCTCCA